TCAGTGGTAGAGTGTGTGCTTGATGTCATAACAGAGGTTTGCTTCAGAATTATCCAGGTTAGTAGGGGTAGTGCTGAAGATGGAGTTGTGAAGATGAAAAATGATTGGGCAGAATTTAATCATTTTCAAAATTATGAGCACATATGAACTTATTCTGCTCTAATTTACATATGCTTAAAATTTAATAAGAAGTTTGGGGAAAATAATGCCTAAATTTATGTATTATGATGGTAGGGAATATTACAAAACAATTTAATATTATTTTTTAAAATCTTTACTCTTTAGGACCTGCGGATCAAAGTCTATAGCTTTAATAAAAATTACTTAAGTTAGCTTCGTTGCCTTTTAGAAAAATGTCATTTGTTTAGAATACAGAATGATATTTGAAGTCTCCAGATTTTAACAGAACAGTGTAATTGTAAGCTAGAGTTTCCAAGTAAACTTTGAAAAAAATGCCATATTGATAATAGGAGTAATGTTTAATCTTTCAGTCAATACTGCAGTGGGAAAGTTCACATAAATAACTGTATCCTTTTCTCTGAAGTGATAATCAATAATAGGAGCTCATAGAACACTGATTCTCAACCCATTTGTGCATCAGCATTACCTAGGGAGTTTTTAACAACTAAGATTCTTGGCTCCACCCCTGGAGATTGACTGTCTTTTGACTGGGGTTGGGCTCAGGCATTAGTATTTCTAAAAGCCCCCTAGATGATTGTCAGCCAGAGTTGAAAGCCTATTTTAAGATGTAAACATAAAGCAGCTTTTTTAGCACTCCTTAAAGAATCTTTCCCTAGTGGATAGAGCTGTCCTTTCCACTGAATTGCATAATAGTTTGTTATCTAGAATTGTTACATCGCTTTCCTGACAGTGTAAAACAAGTTCCATTACAAGCTGCTTGGTAATCAATGTTAAATCAATGTGTGTTTTATTCATATTTGAATTAAAATTATATTTTGACACAAAAGTCCTCTTTAAATTTAATTGGAACTTGGCTGGGGTTGTARCTCAGTGCTAGAGTGCTTGCCTCGCACTTGTGAGGCCCTGGGTTCAATCCTCAGCACCACATAAAAATAAATAAATAAAAATAAAGATATTGTGTTCATCTACATATATATATAAAATTGGTACTGAATCAAGATATTTTTTGGTAAATCTGTTTGGATTTCAAATTAGTATATTTTGAAAATGTTCTTTTAACTGTTTTCTAACATTATTTTTAAATTATCATCCAAATAATGGTAAGTATATTCATTTAGCATTCATGCTGGAAATTATTTTGACTGTAGCAAAAGGAAAACTATGAGAAGAAAATAAATTTTGCTATTCTGCTAATAGAAGTACTTTGAAGTAAAACCAACCCCTTTTATTTGTGTTTACCCCAGTACCTAGAACAGTGAGATACAGAAGGCACTCAGTAAATTTTATGCCAAATGAGTAAATGAATTCTTAAATTATTTCATAAATTCTTAAATCATGAAATGATATCTTAAATCTGTATTAACTCCRGAAGATTTGTATACAGTAGAAAAGGAAATTCAATCATTTTTGTCACTTTTCTTCCATGCTTAACTTTCTTTGAGCTCTTTCTAGAGGAAGATTCTGTTTTAGTTCTTACAGATACAACAATAAAGAAGTAGAAGCATCCCTTCTTTCATGGAACTTACATTCTAGTAGAGTATATAAAATTTTAAATATAATAAATATATTATTATTCTGATTATTATGCTGTGGCATTATCTGTTTCCCTTTCCCAGTTCATTCTCCTATTTTCCTAGATATAGGGAAACAGAATGGTACTGATGAGGGAGAAAGTTGCAGTTTTAAATAGTCTGCTTATGGAAGGCCTTAGGAAAARATGACATTTGTGTAAAGAACTACTAGGAGCTAAATGAGCCAGCTGTTGCCAACTGTGAAAATGTATCAGACAGGAATCGCAAGTAGAAACTGTGCCTCCCCCCACCCCCAAAAAAAGGAGTAACAAAATATTTAGGATGCTGGTAAGGCTAGAGAATTGAACAGAGGCAAGAATAGAAAAAGAGGGAAATGTGGGACAAAAATTAAGTGTGATACAAATTGTATAGACCATGTAGCCATTGTAATTCTTTGGCTTTTACTGTGAGAGGGATACAGAGCAGTTGGTGGGTTTTGAAAAGAGAAGGTCATCCCATGCTCTAATATACATTTTTAACAGCATCACTCTTGCTGCTGAGTTGAAAATTACAACAAATAGAGACAGAGAGACCAATTAGGAAGCTATTTTTCACAGGCAAGAAATGGTGTGAAAAGAAAGAAAGAAAGAAAGGAAGAAGTGAAGGTATTAAGAACTAATAAGAAAGAAAGAAGAAAAGAAAGCAGTGAAGGAAGGTATTTAGAACTAGAAAGAGGGCTGGGGGTGTGGCTCAAGCGGTAGCACGCTCGCCTGGCATGCGCATGGCACTGGGTTCGATCCTCAGCACCACATACAAACAAAGATGTTGTGTCCGCCGAAAACTAAAAAATAAATATTAAAAAATTCTCTCTCTCTCTCTCTCTCTCTCTCTTTAAAAAAAAGAACTAGGAAGGAAGGAAGGATGGATGGAAGGAGTGAAGGTATTAAGAACTAATAAGATTCTATTTTGAAGGCAGAACCATCAGGATTTGATGACTGTTTTTTCTTAAGATGTGAAGAGTCAAATTTAACCACATGATTTTTTGTCCTCAACAACTAGATTCTGGAGGGGCTGGGGATGTGGCTCAGTGGTAGCGCGCTCGCCTTGCATGCGTGCGGCCCGGGTTCTATCCTCAGCACCACATACCAACAAAGATGTTGTGTCCGCCGAAAACTAAAAAATAAATATTAAAAAAAAAAAAAAAACAACTAGATTCTGGAAGGGTAGGGTAGCTTGTAACTAACTGAAATGGGAATGTTTGGAGGAGGATATTGAGGAACTCAGTTTTTCCTGTACTGTTTTGAGTGCCTATTAGACCTCCACATAGAGATGTCAAGTAGACCATTAGATACAGAAATCTAGAATTCTAGGAGAAGTTCAAGTTAGAGATAAATAAATTTGAGAGTTGTCAGCATGAAACGCTATAAGATTGTTCAATATCACCAAAGGGAAGAGTGTTATAAAGGAGAGAAAAGACCTAAGGGCAGAGTTCATGGGGCATTCCAATATTAAAAGGTCTGAGAATAAGTGTCAATAAGAAGGGACAAAATCAAAACAGTAGAAACTAGGTGAAATCTTTCCATAAAAAAGGGAGTCATCAGCTGTGTCAAAATGCTGCAGGTAGATTAAGATGAAGACTGAGAAATGTCAGTTGAATTTGACAACATGTATGTCTTTTGTACATTTAATCCTCACAAGAATAATTCTGAAACACTTTAAGCTGTGGAGAAAATTCAGATTAATGTAACAAAACGTCTTCCACACAGAGTTAATAGATTTTTAATAGTTTCTAAAATTTGATTTGGATTTGTACTTTTAAATGAAAACATTATAAGTTAATTCGCTCATTCAAAAAATATTAACTGAATGCCTACTGGTTGCCAGGCTCTTATTCTGGGGACTTGGAATTATTGCCTTCAAGCAAGAGAAAATAAACTGTAAATAATGTATTATAAAGTGGTAACTGGTATGGGAAAAGAAAAATATATACATATAGCAGGGTAGGGGGATCTGGAGTACTGGGCTAGGAGGTAGAGGGCAAGTTGTAATAGGATGGTCCAGGTACACCTTACTGCAAAGATGATGTAAGGAAATTTATCTGAGTGAAGGTAGTTTCAGATAGATGGAAAAGACGGCACAAAGGAGAACAAAGTCTACTTTGTTCCCCTTCCCAATCCGTTCTCCTTTCCTCCCTAGAAGCAACCTATACAACATTCTAGTCTTTGTTTTTATACTTTTTGCTAGATTTAAATGTGTCTACTAGCATTGTTAATTATTGATTCATATGAACAATCATGCCATGTTTGCTTTCTTTTACTCAAACTTATGAATGAAACATGTAAATCTATGTCATTTGTTTTAATAAGTCAATATTCTATAAATATACCTCAATTTGTTTTTTTTCCCCTCTCACAGCAGTATTGTATTAGCATTCTTGATACACGTTTCTTTGTGCATAAGAGAGAGATTTCAGGCTTTATATCTGGGCTATTTATATGCATTTTCAACTTCATTAGATATTACTAAGTTATTATTCAATTTCTCATATCAATAGTGTATTAAAAGTACTATTTCTTGTGCTGGGGTTGTGGCTCAGTGGTAGARCGCTCGCCTAGCACGTGCAAGGCCCTGGGTTCAATCCTCAACACCACATAAAAATAAATAAACAAAGGTATTGTGTCCAACTACAACTAAAAAATAAATATTTACCAAAAAAAAGTACGATTTCTTCTTGTCCTCACCAAACTTCAGTATTTTCAGTTATCATTTTTTAATTTTTAGTGATATATATCTAAATGTTTCCTGAGAAACTAAGATGACTCCAGAATATTTTATTACTAACAAAGACTAATATTTTATTATCATCAAGGATAGAATTTACTCAATATTTTTTAAAACTTAAGTTTTCTTTAAGACCTATTCTTGCAGTTTATTAAGCCAACTCTCATTTCTGTAAATTCTAAATTACGGCATTAATTGCCAGCTCTAAACTAATACAAGATGGAAAGGTTGTCAAAACCTTAAAATTTAAATGAGGAATTACTTTTTAGCTTTAATAAAATGTTCAATAGGGGGAAAGCATAGAAGATATTGTTACAGGGTGTGTGTATCTTAATAAACCATGCAATTTAGTTCCCATGATTGTTCTTGTATTCCCATATTGTCTAACAGTATTGTTGTTATTAATATATAAAAGTGGGCTAGAACACTTCTTTTTGAGATGGTTATTATCAGATGCTGAAAAAGTACTTCTTTGACACATAAGAAGTTTGATTTTATCCAGAAATAAAGGGTTTACGAATTTAAATATAAAAATATTTGAGTAAATTTTTTCTTACTGTCTTTTAGATTAACAAATAGAAATATAATACACAAACCTGTGGAATGGACTTTAATTGCTGTGGTGTTRCTGTCATCGTAAGTACTCTTTCAGATTTTAACTATAAATTTTGATTAGTGAAAAACAAAGGTATATACTAATTTGATAAACTGCCTTGGAAAAATGTTAAATCTCTATTTTGTGCCTTATTTTTCTTATAGGATAAAATAGTTTTCATGTAAAGTGATATACCATATTTTGATAAGCTATAATCATTCTCTTTATACTTTTTATCTTTCCTTCTGAGGACTCTGTTCTTCACAAATACTATTATCTTTTGAAAGAAGAACATATCCATGTGGAATAAATACAGAATAGTTCTTTAGTTTCATTTTCAATAATCCATTTTATTAATACTGAATGAGCATCATGATTTTACATCTGTATTTTTATCTCATGCTATTTCAACATACTTTAATAGCATCAGAAAAGATTTTTTTTCCCAAATTGATGTGTATTTTAAAATCTAACAAATTTAAAGAAACTAAATGCTTACTATACAGCATATATAAAACATTTAATACTCATTTACCTTTTAGAAAGCCACTTGTGGTTTCTAAGACTRTTTTTAAATCAAGTTAAAACCGTCTAATAAGTGTAGTGTTTTTCAGCTTGAATTGTAAAAATCTTTTGAGGACCATTCATTACTGCATTACTGTTGCTGCCTGGTGCTTGTTAGGTCATCAAAGCCCATAGGACATCAAAAACTTACTGGACATTCACAGGTCAGGAAGTGTTATGAGTCAACCTCATAGCATTTCCAGCCCTGCTTTCTCTTTCTTTGATATTACTTCAGTCTGACATGTTATTCTGGCTTCACTGTCCCAAGAAAGGCTATGCTGGGAAGCATTAGAGTAGGCTTCAGTGAACCAGAATCTGTGTCACCCAACCAGATACAACTCACATGATTCATTAAATCAGAACACAGAAAATAACTTTACTTGAATGCCCCGATATAAATTTTTTATCAACCATAAGAACAAATCTTTTGTCATTTCTACTATTCAGTGTTCCAGTTGAATTGGTAATTTGTGAAACAGATCTTATTAATTTTTTAGAAAGTTCTTTCTACTTTATGAAATGTGTAAATATTTTGGTCACTGGCAGAGAAAATCCCAGTATCTCTGCTTACCAGCCATATCATATGCCTGCTCATAAACCCTCATAGACAACTGTTTAACTGTACTTCTGCAATTCATTATACTAAAGAGGAAGTAACTTTTGGTTGACAAGTTAGAGGCTTAGGCCCAGCCGTAATCTCAGAATCTTGCTTCCTAATCTAGTGACTGGAAATATTATCTTCATGAACAGCTGCTTACTAAGGACATGATAGGTCCTACTTTTTTTTGTACAAAATTATTGTCACATCTCCAAAATGTATAACAAGGAACAAAAACGTAAAGAAAATGAAATAATGAAAGCTACATTAAATTCATATAATTATTCTKTATAAAAATAAGCCTCCAATGTTTGATTTTAATAGAGGTACCATGTGGCACAAAATATTAAAAGCTTTGCTAGTCCTTTTATGCACTATTTGACTTCCCTAACTTTTAATGTAATAGGGAACCTCTTATTTCAAGGGTCAGTGACCCATAAAAAATAACAGCTTAGTTGAATTCAAGAAACAAACTGTATACATCTTAGGTTTATTGCTTGTTTTATGTGTGCAGTAGATACTGAAGTTGTATTAGTAAACACTGTTTTGTCATTCACCTTCTCTTTCGTTAATATATCCTAACCCCTACAGCGAGATCTAACTACTTTTTTCCTAATCATTGAGCCTTTTAATTCCTGGACTACTAAAATTCTTTCCAGTTTAGGCCTTTATGACTTCTTTTTAAATCTTTGGTCACTATAGGTACCAAAGCAGATGGTACTTCCTAGGTTTTTGCTTTTGAAATCTTCTTTTCTCATAATTCTCTCACACCTCACGCCCGCCTTAAAATTACTTTTCGTTCTATGTTTGCACATTTTGTATCTTCAGATTCTAACTGAATCTCTTTATTATTTGATCATCAGCTTCTAAGACTTCTATCTCCTTCCCGTATTGTTTTATTTCTTATTTTTTATTTTTTCAGAAAGTCCCTTTTAGCTCTTCATTTTTTCCTTCCTCCAGGGAACCTATGGCTCAGCTGATAGCTCTTGTTATCCACAACTTTGTCCTTTTATCACTCTTTTGTGGTGTCTATTGGTATACTAGTTAGAGAAAAAATTAAAACATATTAATTTATATTTCCACCCTTCTTTTCTTCCAACAGTTAACACTTTTTTTTTTTTTTTGCCATGCTGGGAATTAAACCCAGGACCTCACACATGCTATTCTACCACTAATCTACACCCCCAGCAACAGTTTACTTTTTAGAGAAGGTAACATTTGTCATTGGGAAAAGAAAAGGCAGGCATAAGGGCCAGCATTGGATAAAAGCCTGATGGTGAAAAATATGGAGACTTTAAACACCTAAAGAGACATATATTTGTGCAGGATTCACCCTTTTTATCCTTACTTATTGCCACTAAGACTGAATATAGCATACAAACGAATATCTCTTTAAAAAAAAAGTATGATTCAGAAAACCTTCATATCTACTTGTAAATTTCCAATGGAATCCTTTTTATCATAACTTGTAGGCATTTTTTAAATTCATATTTAAAAACCAAGTGTTTGGGGGTGGGGGTGCACACCTGTAATCCCAGCAGCTTGGGAGGCTGAGGCAGGAGGATCACAAGTACAAAGCCAGACTCAGCAAAAGCGAGGTACTAAGCAACTCAGTGAGACCTTGTCTCTAAATACATACAACATAGGGCTGGGGGTGTGGCTCAGTGCTCCTGAGTTCAATCCCCAGTACCCCCCACCAAAATTCTTGTAAGTCTTTGTACCTAAGAAAAAGATTGAATGGTAGTTGTGAATCACTGAAGAGGAATACATAATTACTTTACATAAAAAGTACTACTATAATAATGGTATTATTCTTTATATATGCATATTGCAGATTTTGATTACTAACATGTTTAATGCATGAAAGCTGTTTTCAAAATTTATATAATCCACTTAGAAAAGGATACATATACACAYACTATGTAATCAGTATGTTGCTTTGGTAGTTTCAATCTGACTCTTGTTAGTGGAGGGCCAATGGATCAACATTCTGACTAAAATATGAGTGTCCAAAGCAACAGAAAAAGCTGGGGCCTGAATTTTCTTCAGAGTAAATAACCTATTTCTGTAGCACATCATCTTTTCCTAGTGACTTCCACTATGCTTTCACAGATGTATTAACATTAAACCCATTATGCCCCAATGTCCCATATATAGTATACCTATAAACACTTTAATTGAGCAACAACAACTTTGTTATTCCTCTATATGGGACACTGGGATATAATGAACTTTTAAAAATTTKGGGCCCACATCAAATAATTTATCAGAATAAATTACAATTATGGGAGTAAAATTGTGGGAATTTTATACCATTATAATCTCAGAAATTTGATCAAATAGAGTATGTACAATTGATCATTAAATGCTCAGTGAAGGGCTGGGGATGTGGCTCAAGCGGTAGTGTGCTCGCGTGGCATGTGTGGGGCGCTGGGTTCAATCCTCAGCACCACATAAAAATAAAATAAAGATGTTGTGTCCACCAAAAACTAAAAAATAAATTTAAAAAATGCTCAATGAAATGCATTTATGTATGAAAATACATAATTATTCATTCCCACTTCATTTAGATTTCTTATTAATTATATGGGATCTGAATGGCTATTGTGATTGCAACATTTATTGATATTTATACTATATATTCCCTAGCTTTATACTATATATTCCCTAACTAGTAGCCAGGAATACATAGACCATTTAAACAGTTTAAGCAGTATACATTTATTTTACAATGAAGGAATTACTTTCCTTTTGATTCCCTCATTCTTATTCAGTAAATGTTACAATTAAGGATTTTCAAGAATTCATTATACATAATAGAATATCTGTAATAGTGAAAATTGATTGACCCTGTTTTTATTAAGAACCAATTAATTTTRTTGAATTAAACTTTATCATACTTTACTCTTATATCAGGTTTTATTCCCGGAAAAGGCCAATATGTTGAAATAATACAAACTTGAATCAGTTTTTCCAATTAAATATGCCTTAATAAGATACTAGGCTCTTTTCACAGTCTTGGATGTATGCCTTTTAATTAAAATGTGTATTTATGTGTGTGTCTGTATCATTTTCTATAAATACTTAAGTAACTGTATACTATGTACAACCTGTTAAAGTATATTTTGAAGTGTTTGTGTACCAAATTAGAAAATGCAATAACAAATTACACTAAAATGCATTTTATGATGTGGTGTTATACTGTGTCATATATTCTTTTTCATATTTCTCATAATTACCATTTTACCCACAGTATCGGAAAGAAGCACTTTTTGTTGTGGTCACAGTATTCAGAATAGTTTCTTTGAGATTTTGACAGGCTATTTTGAGAAGACTTTATAGCTACAGGATACCTCCCCTTAGTTCTGCCCCCATCTCTCCTTTCCTTTTTCCCTTTGCTTTTATTCTTCCTCAATGTTCTTTGACCTCTGTCATTATTCTTGAGCCGTTAACAGAAGAGGAGATTGCCAGTGCTGAAAAATCTAGGGAAAGGTCCAGACCAAAACCAAAGAGAAGCCATCAAGAAGCAGATTGACTTGCCTGAGTTCCTCTGTGTGTAGCTCGAGTGCCAGAAATGGGAATCAAGTTTCTTCAAGAGGACTTGTAATTAAAATGTAACTTTTTTCACCTAAATTTAATATGGAAACTTTATAAATAGACTACTACTTTTGATTCTGGCATGGGTGGCCATGGAGAGAGAGATGTGTTGCATTCTATGGGAATTACTTAAATTATCTGATGAAAGACATGAGTACTTATTTTGTATTACTCAGAAAAGATAGAGGGAAAGTGACTTGTAGTAGTCTAACATTGATACATCTATTCCTACTTTTATGCCCTTGATTCTCTCTAATGGAAAGCTTTCAAGACTATCTCCAAAAATGTCCGCTTTCATTTTATTTATCTGAACTGGCTGTTTCCAGTGAACTGTGGCCTGCTTCCTAGGCAGAGACCGTGCAATAGTTTATTCCCTCTAAAAGCTTTGTGTATTCCTGTCGTTCAGGGAGTAGCATGTAAGTCCTGGGAAATGGTATTTAAACAAACTCAACTTGACCATGATCACTAAACAAAAGCCATCACTGGACACGGACAGCCACTTTCGGTAACCATCATACAGATAGATACTCTGGAGAGTCCCTTCCCTAGGGCTACCAGGCATGAATGGAAAGATGTGACTAAGGCTTTTTACTTCAGCATGCTATTTTTTTAAAGGCTGCCCATCACTAATTTCCTCATAAAATTTGTGAACAYACCATGAAAAAATAAAGAGGTGGTTCCTTAGAAATTTATTGGTTCTTAGGAGTCTTCGTAAGTCTTTCTTTTAATATTCTAAATTTAATTTGGGGTATTTGAGACCATACTAAAAGATAATTAAAATTATGTTTTATAGTTTCTTATATTTATGGAATCTCATAATTGAATTTTATTAAAACAAAATTTACCATTTTATTGTATATGGTTCAACTGGTTTTTAGTAAATTCATTGTATTGTGTATTCAGTGCTATCTAATAACAAAACATTTTCTATCATTCCAAAAGGAATCTTTGTATCAGATGAGTTCCAGTTTCCCTTTCTCCCATCCTCTGACAACTTACCACTCACTCTCTATCTCTGTGGACTTTCCTATTCTGAACATTTTATATAAATGGAATTCTATAATCCATGCTCTTTTGTGCCTGGCTTCTTTCACTTAACACATTTCCAAGGTTTTTGTTCATAGTATAGCAAATAATAGTACTTCATCTCTTTTTATGACTAGATAATATTCCATTGTATGGATATACCACATTGGTTTACYCACTCATCAGTGATGGTCATTTGGGTTATTTCCACTTTGGGGCAGTTATGGATAATGGTGTTAAAACATTCGTGTTCAGATTTTTTTCTGTGAACATATTTTCAGATTATATAGGGTATTTATCTTGGTGTGGAATTGTTGGATCATATGATAACTCTGTATTTAGTCACACACACACACACACACACACACACACACACACACCAACCTCCATACCCCAGTGGCACTTTACCAATGAACTATATCCCTTGCCATTTTTTTTTTTTTTAAGACACCATCTCACTAAGTTACCCAGGTTGGCCTTGAATTTGAGATCCTTCTGCTTCAGTCTCCCTAGTCACTGGGGTTACAGACATGTGCCACGTGCCCAATTTATATTTAACATTTGGAGGAACTACCAAACTGTTTTCTTCAGCATTCTACATTTCCACAAGCTGTGTATTAGGACTCCAGAGATTGAACTGTAAAAGTCATCTCATCTTACACTCACTTGTGATTTTAGGGTTTTATATATACACTTTTCCCCAAACTTAAATATTTCTCTTCTAATTGATTTTAGACCTTCATCAATTTCTTATGTTCTAAAAGTTTCTGTAACATATGTAAAATGAGTACCTTTAAGCCAAAAAAAGAAAAAAGTCATAGTGTTAAAGTTATTTATCTATTTTAGTACTGCGAATTGAACCCAGGAGTGCTGAACCACAGAGCCACATCCCCAACCCTTTTTATTTTTTATTTTGAGACAGGGTCTTACTAAGTTGCTTAGAGCCTTGCTAAGTTGCTGAGGCAGCCTGCCTAGTTGCTGAGATTACAGGTATGTGCCACCATGCCCCAGCTCATAGTTTTGAATTTAAGACTACATAAATAATATCTCAGCAGTACCTAGTGGTATTTCCTTTGGATTCCTCAGTATCCAAAAAATGCCTTTTTTGTTTGTTTGCTTATATATTTCTATATCCCTCCCGAACTAATTACTGAGTTTATATAAGAAAACACTTTTTTTTTAACTGAAATATCTTTACCTTCAACCAGCAGCACTTTGTAGGTAGGACTCAGATGCTTTCTAAAGAAATAATAGTTTTAATTTTTTATCAAAGCCTACCTTCTACAATGATTTTCCCCCTGTTATCCCTGGAAAATGTATAATGTTCATTTTATTTTAATTCATAAATAGTTGAGAGTCCCCTCAAGCCTTAATCCATATTAAAAGTCACCAGTGTTCAAGAGCTGGGGTTCCATCCTCTGCACTAGCCAAAAGATGTGCTCTCCATTTTGTCCATCCCAAGCAGCTGCAGCAGTGGTAGGTAATAAGAGCAGCCAACAGCAGTTAGCCCTCACCAATGATGACCTCAATTTCAGGGGCTAGTCCGTATATCTATCAGTGCCATCTTTACATATGACTGAGCTCACCAGAAGCTAGGAAGCATGAGATTTACAGTTACTGTTGACGGCACTGTAAGAATGTTACAGTCATTGTGTGTGGACCTCCCCAGTTCATTCTGCTGAAATTTTACAGCATTTGGGATTGAGAGGGACTAGATCCACTATTCTAAGAGAACTGCCACATAGCAACAATTATGAAAAGTTTTTTCCAATACTCTACGAAGCTGCTCTATAAACTTGTTACAAACAGGATTTAGATATAAAGTTTTAAAGTCACTACCACCCAGCCCCTTAAATAAACATACATGTAATATATCACTACAAAGTGATTTACAAAGAACTTGTTCCTTTGAATTAGAAATATCAATGGAAAGCATCCCTGCTTCCTTATTAATAGGTAATCCTAAAGCATTAAATGCAAACATAATCAGGGCATAAGCCATATGTTATAAGAAAAACATTTTATTTTATTTGGCTGTCATAATCAAAGTTTTTATCTTTGTTTTCTAGATAATAGTTCTGAACTAGAAAACCTATAATGACATCCTTCTTCAGTGTATATTCTTGTCTTCTTTCTTTGTTTCTCATGGAAGTCCTTAGTAGCCTTACATGCCTGTTGGTTTTTGAAATTTTGGGTCTTTAGCTTTGTGCCTATGATAAAAATAATGGCAATTTTCATTTGTATAATTAATTTTTATTTAACAGAGGGTTTTTAAAAAATTTAATTTCCTTACCCCAAAGACAATCTTTAACTTGTATATGGATCTCATAAAACCCTAAAACTCACACTCATTCTGGATAATATCCTGTTTTTATCTGTAACAAGCAGTGTAGCCTTGCACAAATTATGTAACCTCATATTTTACATTGGCATTGTGAGGGATTGGACTAAATCAAGATTAAGTCAACTTGGCAGTGCAAATTCAACTATAAGATGTTCCAAGTAAGAAACTATTCTCTCTCTCCTTTTTTTTTTTTTTTTAATGAGACAAAGTCTCAGTGTGTAGCCCAGGCTAGCCTTAAACTCTTGGATTCAAGTGATCCTCCTGCTTCATCCTCCCAGGTGCTCATAATTGCACCCAGTTAAGAGAGAGTTTTGATGCACTATATCAAGAGGGATAATGAAAATGGGTATTTTTAGCATAGGAAACAGTTTAATTTTGTCATAGAAATTCATGGTGACATTGCCCAAGTGTTTACTTTGTTAGGTTTCTTAATAAGCTTGACCAAAAAAAAAAAAATAGATTTAAATGATATGTCTGCTCACTCTGTAGAAGGAGTACATAGTGCACTTTTAATTAAATGAGAGGAACATCCCCAAGATTCCTTTAGTCTGTACTGAAGACTTTAGTTGACATGACATTTTTATCAGTATCAAAGATGAGAATGTTCTCTGAATGCAAAAGGAAATAGTAGAGTGGTATGTTACTTCAACATAATACTAAAGGTGGCAAGTTGATTTTTTAAAAGGTTAAAATGTGTTTTAAAACTCCATTTTGCTTACAGAATCCCCACTATATCTGTGAGCCTTTTACCTCTTCCAATTTATTCTTTTTTTTTTTTCCCATTTTTACTCCTTACTTTCCCCCTGCCCCACTGATGCTAAGTGTTCACTGATACAACTTCTTTGATCCAGGTACTCTAAAGTAACCTGAGTTTCTTCTCTGATATAGTACTATAAAAAGGAGAGATAGATACATTACTTGAAGCCCTGATTTTTCTTCTGAAGAGTTTATTTGTACATTTTTTTGTCTTTAATGTCATGCATGAAAACCAGTGTGAGTAGAACCCATGTATACCTTGAAATTAGGAAATTCATACTTTGCTATAGCATCATAACTGGAAATCAGTGTAGAAGCAGCCACCTATACAATGATGAAAAWTTTTTAAATGTTTAGAAACCGGACTAAAAAAATAGCCAACAAATATCTTTTGAGTACCACTATGGGTTAGACTATCTTAGATCCTATAAGGGATGCAGAGGTTACACAAATCCTCTGTCCTCATAGACTTTATAGCTTCCTGGAGGTTGTGTAAAGGAGGAGATTGACTTGTACACAAGCATTACAATAAAAAATTGAATGTGTTAAATGCCAAAAAAGYACAAATTCTTATGGGGCTTCAAATCTCAGTTCAGATTATAAAAATATTTTATAGAAGTGGGCTATTGTGGATTCAAAAAACAAGATTTCAAGAAGTAGAATGAATAGATAAGTGCATCCTAGGAAGCACTTATAGCTCAAAAAAAGCAAAAAGAGATATAGTCAAGAGTACAAGTTAACTAGAAAGAAAGGTTGGGTTTATTATGAGAAAGATTTTTTTAATGGCAGGTAAACTCAATTCAGGAGGAATAAAAATCATTTAAATTTGAGCAAGTAACATCATAAAACTTGTACTTTAGGAAGATTAGTCTTGCAGAGATCTGGAATCAAAATTGATCTTCTCTTCCACATTGCACCAGCCTTCAGAGACTTTTAATTACTCTTAAAGTAAAACCTCTTATTGTGGTCTACATGGCCCTGCTTGGCCTAGGCCCTATTTATTTCTCCAGACTCTCTACCTCGTTCTCCTCATTCCTGCCTCTCTGATCTTCTTTCATAATTTTCTCATCATATTCTCCCAGAATAGGACATGAATTCAGTTCTTTTTTTGCTCTCTTCCCTTCATTAATTAATTCCCTTTCATCATTCAGAACTTAAGGAACTTTCTCCTCAAGAAACTTCCTTACTTCCCTGACTGGATCAACTGTCTCTATAAAGWGGCTCTCATAACACCATATACTTCTTCCTAGCAGTTTTTCTGATTTCTGTTCAATCATGTGATTACTTGATTAATGTTTGCCTACTTCACTTGACTTAAAGATTTTTAGGTGCTGGTTCTATGTCAGATTTTACCCACCATTATAAACCTAATATTTAGCATTTTGCCTAGAACATCACCGAGTTACAAAAATATCTGAAAGAGAATGAGTGAATAAATGGATGAGAATAGTTTGGAAGCTATCAGTTCTTGCTCTTTGTTGACTCCTTCTTTCCTACCTGCCTATATGTGTTCATTCTCTTTAAAAATCAAAACAGATAGGGCTGGGGTTGTAGCTCTGTGGTAGAGCACTTGCCTCGCATGTGTGAGGCACTTGGTTCCATCCTCAACACCAAATATAAATAAATAAATAAATAAATAAATAAATAAATAAATAAAGATATTGTGTCCATGTACAACTAAAAAACATTTTTAAAAAAGCAAAACAGATAAACACACCTATCCTTTGTCCGTCACCTCAGACTATCATCTACTTACCTTTCAAATATCTAGAATCGCTCATCTGCTCTAAGTGGTTCCAGTGCTTTTTATTAATCCCTTGCATTCTGCATTTTCTCCCCACAATTTATGGAATTGATTTTCCCAAAGCCACTGCTAGTAATTATCTAGTTAAACAAAAACAATG